TGAATGGAATTAACATAATTATTAATTTATTGTAAAAACATGACAGATAATCTGTGAAACAGATCCAGTTCAGCTGCTGTTTATCTATTAGTTTCTATGGAGACTGTGAGATGTTGCCCTTTTATGTCTCTGTTTCTGCTCCTCCATGCTGTCACAGACGTTACCAGTGGACGGTACGGGCGGGACTCTGGTCTATATTCAAGTCTATGGTTCAGAGATGGGAGATAGGCACCCCCTTGGAAAGAAAAATCTGTAAAAACAAAACAAAAAAAACAGGTGGATGGATAATTTAACTCACTCAGCATTCACACAGTAATTTCACACACAGTGCATACTTTTCTAATTAAAACTTTTTTGTTCTAATTAAAAGCCTCAGAAGCTCTTTTTGACCCTTCATGACTCACTGGATCATCTATGTTAAGCCGTCAGGCTTCACATTAAAAAAGGGGAAAAAAAGAAGTACTTCCTCTTTATCTTCAAACAGTGAGTATAAAAGCAGACAAGGCCAAAGCGCTCTTCATTCTCCTCGTTCTGCCTCTTCACTTTAACCTCCTCTCTAAAGAAACTCGTCTCATCATGGGGAACTTTGCTGCCAATGAAGGACTCTCCATTTTTGTTATTGTGAGTAGATTCATCATCTGGTGCACGTAGGAGTTTCAGCATGATTTAAAATGGGTTCAGTCTGGGATAATTTTCTCCAAAAATGAAAATATCATGACTTTAGGGATATTCTTACATGGACCCCTTAGGGTCTATAAAATTCAGTCAATTAAATTTTTATTTATTTATTTTTTGGTTTGTAAATGATTCACTCATTTTGACCTCTTTAATATAGAGGGATGGGGGGTGATGATAACATAATATAACCAAAAGTTTCCTTTAGTGGTTTTTCTCAGCTTCACTTGGAGTAAACCAAACCACATCCACAATAAAACTTTCATCACTGAGTAGAACTTTATTCTATAAAATCTTTGTAATTTGTTTATAATAAACTGTAAATAATTAGGCTAACTGTCAACAGGTGAGTACTCATTCTAAAAATAGCGTTGTAGAGAGGCAGAATCTTTCAGATGATTTAGAGGTAAAAATGATTGACCTGTGTAAGATTACAGCTGTTCTTTGTTGGGGTTTTGGATGGATAGAAGTAGATGTTTTTAATTGATGATGCCTTTCTAGATGTTTTAGCTACTTTTGTCAGAGGCACTAATGCACCCCCATACCATCAGAGAGGCTGGATTTTGATTTGATAACAAGCTGGATGTTCTCTGTCCCTTATTTAGTACAGACATGCTGTCCATGGTTTCCATAAGAAACTCAAAACTGAATTTGGTTTTCCACTTCGCTTCAGTGCATTTAAACTTTTAAAGCTTTGGTTCAGAGAACAACAGCAACATTTCTGGATGGTGTTCACATTAGGCTTTTTCTTAGTATGACAGAGCTTTAAACAGCATTTGTGAACACTACAGTGAATTATGTTTACCATGATTTGAAGAAGAGTCAGAATCAGACTTGTTTTTACTGCAGTGGCCTCAGATAGTGATATTGACTACGGCCTTGTTCTGTGAGCTCAGACATTTCTCCAGATTATTCAAATCTGTTAACGAAATTATGAACTGTAGATGTATTTATCATGAAATTGTTCAACTATTATTTTAGACAGGTTTTCTCCGGTGGGCAGAGCCCATCACTGCTTCTGAGAGACACCCTTATACGAGTCCTCTTTCTGACCTGTTGCCAGTTAACATGTATCATACTGATATTTGTGCCTCAGTTCTAATACTAAAATCATATTAGGATCATTTTCCTTTTCTTAACTGATGCTATGTTGAATAATCTTTTTTACTATTATTTTTGCAGCTGGTCTGGCTGGGAATCAACGCCTACCTGTTTGTCCAATTCTACAGGGCTTTTCTAGTGGAGCGCTGGTTCTACACCCGGGTGCTGCTGGGGGTGAGTCCAACCTGAGACTTATTGGTGCATTTACTCTTTCATCCCTTGGCAACACTGTAAGCCTCAAGCAAACAGTTACTGTCTGAAAACTATACCTTACTGAATAAAATCTTGAATTGCGAAGAAGGCTCTGATGGTCACAAATGTGATTTTTTTTTTAATTCTGCAGTTTTTTGTAGGAGATACAGTTTCAAAAGTCCCTTACAGGGCTCTAGAGTGCGACCAATTTGGTCACAAATGCGTCCAGATTTCCTAATAGTGCGACTAAAAAAATGTCAGGTCGCACCGGTGCGACCGAGGGGAAGGGGGAGCGGTCACCCGCTGAAAAAAAAAGTTTCCATGTTTCATAAAAAATAATCCAGCAGTATCAATGGTCGCCCACCGACGTCTCATCTCTAATAACACAGCACTCTGCTCGCGGGCTCCGCTCCTCACCTCCCGCACACACGTCTGTTGTTCTATCCTCATGGGGACTTTTCATTGGCTTCCATTCATTTCCCTGTCAATTCTATAGCCAACCATAACCTCCCTGGTAGACTACACACCTGACCCAAACCCTAACCTCACCAGGCTGTGTGTACCGGGGAAATGGTCAATAATTGTACCCACCATGAAGCAAAAACCTGTACACAAACACCTGCGCGCACGCATAGTGAAACAACCGTATGTTTTTTATCCCCCACCCCCACCACCACCTCAACTTCACCACAGTTACAGTCCAGGTATCTGAAATAGGTTCTTCTGGGTCTCAGGAGGATAAAACTAGACGTATTAGATATTTAAGTGAAATAATATAAGCTATTAAGAGTGAACTAATGCTGAAATTGCTGACTTTTATGTGTTATTATTTAAAAAAAAAATCTGCACAACTTTTTAATAAATATCAGTAATATTTCTGTTATAAATTATTATTCTCTGTTCATCATTCTGGTTTATCTAAGGCCAAAGATCCAGAGGGCCAAACTACAGGAGTTGTCCATCTGAGGGACATGTGTCTAAAAAATTTAACCGTGAAATGTTTAATATGTTATAAGATGTTCAGCCCTTAAACATTTGCTCTTAGAATTTTATAGAATCACTTTAAATACTTGTCAGTAAGTTAAATGTCTACAATTCTGGTTCAAATAAAGAACATTATGTTTACTAGATTGTTAACTAATTATTTTTGAGTTAATGTTGCCTTAATGAACAGTGATTAAAAAAATAACCTGTAAAACTCTAATGTTAAATGTGATGTAGTTGAAAATTTGAGTGCACCTAACTTTTGTGCTGGTGCACCTAAGAAAAATGTTTGGCACACCGGTGCAACCAGTGCAAAAAGTTAGTCTTAGAGCCCTGCCTTGAGTTCTAGTTCAATTCTGAGTGTAACTCTGCAGTTAGTGCCTTGGGTGTGCACACACAACTTTGCAGGGATTTGAGAGAAAAACAAAAGTCAATTAGCAATGAGACCGATTGGGTTAAAGAAGACTAAAATATCTAAATTTGATATATACATTGTAGAGGAAGTGTAAAGGTTTGTGGGAATAGGAAGAGTTGTTTTCAAAAAGTTACATAAAATTAAAGTCTTTTAAAGTTTAACTTTGTCACTGGTTTGAACTCTAAACAATGTTTCTGCTTTCAAGTTGTTGTTTTTTTTCAATAATTTGCCCAATTCGTCTATGTCGAACTGGCCGGCCGAAGGCCCCCCTCCTCCTCCCCAAAAATGTTTTTGTTTTTTAACTTACTTTAATGTGAAAATAGTTTTAATGGTCAACTTTAAATGTACGATTCAATTAAACAAAATAAACAAATTTCAAAGATAATACTTGTCCTGCACCTGGACTGTTGGCTTTAAGTAACTGAGTCCCCTTGAGAAATTTAATTAAATAGCCCCATTTTAATGTCTCAAAAAAAGCTGCTTTGAAGCCAACATTGATCATAAACATCTCTCATAATGCATGTTGATTATGCATGAATTCCCTGTGAGAAAGTGAGAAAGTTCAGAATTCAAGACAACAGACAAACTAGTTGATTCACTTAAAGTGAATGGCTGCCTTACATTTTCAAGTTAAGGGGAAAATGTCAAAGTTTCTTACAGCTGTCTCTTTGAGGGAAACCATAACGGTTACTTGGTGAAAACGACTTTGACACCCCTGATATACAATAAACCATTATAAAAAGTCAAAACTCCCCATTCCTGATTGAGACTTATGTTTTGGTGAGTAGTTTTTTTAATGAGACAGAAACAGAGATAACAGACAAATAGTAAGAGTTCTCCTATTGTTTCTCCATTAGCACCTTTGAAAATTGTAACATTTTATTACTTTAAACTTACCGAAATGTCAAACTGTCTAAGACTAAATATTATTAATCCTGAACTGAAACACCTTTGTTGACATATCAACTTTTATTCAGCTGACATGTCAGACGACCTCAGTCCTCCTCCAGAAATCAAACAAATGTATTTAGAAGAAAACTGTCACAAATTGATGTGCAGCTTTAGGTTTTTGGTCACGGCTGCTTTCACTGATTCAGGACCAGCTGGTTTCACCTCAGCAGAAGTGAAACTGGCATTTTTCATTTATACAACGGCCTGTTATTTCTTGTTGTTATGCATGTCTGCCACAAGTTTAGACTAAAATTAGATTTTGTTGAGAAATAACAGTTACAGCCTTTTTTTGTGTCTACTATGTTGACTTTGCTGTAATGACCATCTCGAATTGTAAAGGTAAATTTAGTGTAAAAATTCATTTTGTGATATAGAGCTTGGGTAATTTGAAAAAAATAAAAATGCTTGGGGTCAAGACAATTATTGCAGTCATTTCCATGCAGAGACTGCTGATTGTTAACATGAACAAGTTTGAAAAAAAAAGTTTGAATTTATTTTATTTTATTTTAATAAAGGAATGATTGACACACTTCAGTCACTTACAGCAGGCATGACATAATTCTTATTCTTATATGTTGCAGCTGTAAGTCACAGGTGACTGTAGTTGTATTTGTCCAAAAAGCTGTATTTTACTTAAAGCTCAACTCTCAGTAACTAAACTGGCTCCTCTCTCATCCCACGCCTTTGCTGAAGAAGGAGTCTGAGTAATGTCACGTTCAGGAACACAGTAAAAAATCTGTTTCACTCAGTTACGGGGTTCACTGGTATCTTGTAAATAGGCTACTATGAAAAATTAACTGTTCACATTGAACCATGAAGGTACACTTTTTGGATTAAACATAAACAAAAGCATATAATAATAATATTAATAATAATAATATTAATAATAATAATAATAATAATAATAATAATAATAATAATAATAAGTGTGGGTTACCTTTGAACAGTTAAAAACAGAACATTTTTATATAATCGGACTCCAACAATGTCTATCTCTCAAAGGAACACTGTTCAAAATGACGTCATGGTTAATCAATTATATGTCCTTCTGCTTTTTGTTTTGTTTTGTTACCATTATTTACTTATTAATTTCTAATCTTTTGCTGTTTTAGCTTTGAGCTACATTTTTTTTCTTTCTTGCTTTAACCCCTTAACCTCAATGTACTGTCCACAGTACATTCCCAGCTTGTGGTTACTTCCTGCCTCTTTATAACCTACCAGGGACTTTGCATTATAGACTGTTATTATAAACATAATAGACTGTTCAAACAACTAGAATCATCCAATCAGCTCTTAGCTTCATTCTGACACCCTAAGTTGTAAAGTAACTAAGTACAAATACTTTGTTATTATGCTTCAGTAGAAATTTTGATTATCTGTACTTTACTTATGTTATTATTTTTCATCCTACTTTTTACTTCTACTCCTTAAACAATTATCTGTACTTTCTACTTCTTACATCTTTTAAAATGGTAAGATGTAGAAAAAAAGTTTCATTCTGGCTCGTTATTGTTAAAAGAAATTATCCTGGATAGAGTGAGTTTAATCATGGTTGGATGAGAAGTATAAATACATAAAATATTCTGAAACTGTATTAGTTTGTACACAATCCATCACAGCTGCACACCTTTAGAAAAATGGGTTTTTGTTGTTGTTGTTGTGGGGATCACCTCCCAATAAACGAATTTTTAAAAATCTAACCGCTCATTTTTATTCAGTGCTTTTACTTTTAATACTTTTCAGTACATTTCATGTCAGAAATGTTGTTTTGATACTTCAGTACAAAATAAAATTAGACACTTTAAAACGTTTATTCAAGTAATAATCTTAGAAGACACTTGAACTTTTACCAAAGTAAGTTTATGTTAAGATACTTGTACTTCAACTAAAGAATTACTTTGAGGTACTTTGTTCAACACTGCTCACACCACAGCTGTGTAGCCAATGAAGTTACCTTATATTCAATATATGCAGCTTTGGAAATATAAAAAAGTAATAATGCTTAACTAAATATTTGTTACAGTTTAACAATTATGACTGCTGAAGTTAAAAGTTCAGATTGATAGCTTTACATAGAGACTTGGTTTGTGAATTTACTCCAAAGAGCAATTCTTCATTTCATTTGTGTTAGGGTTGGGCCCGCAGGTTAAAAGGTTAAAGTCATTCAGCGCTCAGCATCACACTTAATTCAAGCAGAAAATACAAATTCTTCATGTTTAATTCCAGACTTTGCAGAGAGTGCTTTAAAGAGGCAAAATGATGTCACAATGTCAGGTGTAATCATTTTGCTTATTTCTGTAAACATCTGTCACAAACATTTCTTGTTTTCAGCAAGCCTTGCCCTGGGCTAGAGCTCCTGCTGCCTGCCTCAACTTTAACTGCCTGCTGATCCTGCTGCCAGTCTGTAGAAACCTGCTCTCCTTCCTTCGAGGTTCCATCCAGGTAAAACCAAATTCACTCAGGTTGGTTTTAGCTTCATGTTTCGCCCATTGGATCAGTTCATGAATGTAACTTTTACCTTCAGTACTGCAGTCGGACCGCAGCTCGCCAACTGGATCGAAACCTCACCTTCCATAAACTGGTGGCTTACATGATCGCCTTCCATACAGGTAACAAATAAAATCAACACATTTTTAAATGATTTTACAAATTCTACAAAGCAAGTTTTGTCCATTTAAAAACTTTAATGAACATTTGTTCAACTTGAGACAAGGAATACTCCAGAGAAGTCAAAATCTTCAAGGGGCAATATTATGTGTTTCTCAGGCATATATTTAAATACTATACCATAATAAAGTATCTGTCACCTTTAGTTGTTTTTAAAATGCTGTTTTTATGTTTACATAGAAAATAAACTTATCTTCTCATCAGTTCCTCTTTTAAACGCCTTGAAATTGGCCTCTGTCTCTTTAAGAACCACCTTCTGCTTCTGTCTCGCCCATTTCAGCACACCGGGGGTGGGGTGGGGGTGTGCTATGATGCCGTTTACTTGGCATCTGAAAATACATGTCCTCAAAGGTATTTTGAATCTGAAAAAGAGCTTCACTGAGTGAGAAGTAGTGTTAGGAGCTCAGCAGACAGTTTCAGTTTCACTTTCAGTTTCACCAGTTGTTTGATTTGTTGCTGCCGAGAACCTGCAGGAGTCATGGGCGGGGTGTGTGGGGAGTGGGGAGGTGTGCTCCGTGATGAGGAAGCTCGGCTTGGAGACACAGCTAAGAGGCGGAGCTGGTCCTAAAAGGCGGTTCTAGTCCCAACCAGTCGTTTTTGCTCCCCTGCATGGCTGCACCTAGCCTGTCCCTTGCCTTCCTACGCAGCTCCGCTCAACTCTAGTTTCCCTTCACTGCTCCATCTGGAACTTATCCCATAGACAAGGATTTCTTCTGGCAGATTTTTAGCCGGGCCAATCAGAGAACAGAACGTCAATTTTCTGTGCAGTGTCTGCTTGTAGTTTATTTTACCTGGGCCAATCAGAGAACAGAAGGTGGAGTTTTGAATGACGTCGTTGTTCTGCGCAGTGTCTGCTAGTTATTTTAGCATACGGCAGTGGAGGAAGTGAATGAAGCCAGTCTGTGTTGATAAGGCTTCCAAATTAAAATAAATTTGTCTGACAAAGCAGCAGCTCTCATTTACAGTCGTCTCGTTCGGCTCTGTACTTCTCTCCTCTCAGTAGAGTTGTTTACAGCACACGCGATTTCCGGTTAGCTTCTTAGCTTAGCCTCCTTCACAGCGACATACGCCGCAGCCAACTGATCCAGTCATTTTAAACTTCAGCAGAGGCCACGCCTCCTGCAAGAAATCGATTCTCTATGCATCAAGTCCAGACCCTTGTACGAAGCAAAGTGAAGGACAGGGTCTGGTTTAAACCAGGCTAGGCTGCCTCAGGACACCACAGGATTTCTCAAACATGCATGAATGAGTCAAAGCAAGACTCTGGGCATGTTTTTTATGCAAGTATAACATTATAACATGATTTAAAACTCAAAAAAGTTGATTTTACATGATATAGCCCCTTTAATTATATAAAATGAATGAATACATTTAAGCTGCTTTGAAGTTTTAAACAAAAATGTGTGATCTATTAGAGCTCAGTGTGTTAGAGATCAGTCTCAGTTACCACCAAACTTTAGCTCAATATCTGTACAATCCTCAGAGGTATGGTCAGTTTGGTGTTTGTTTAGGTGGCTGTGGTCTCCACCTTAAAAATAACACACATTTTGTGTTCTTTAAAAACTGAAGTATGATTATAAAATAATAAGTGTGTGAAAGCGACTCATTTTTGTAAATTCAACATAAGACTCATACTGTTGAACAAATAGAAGAATGCACATGATTACATTTTCACCCTCCCTTCATGCCAGCGTGTAATAAAAAAGAACCAATCCAAACATATGGGTGGTAAAGCTGAGTTACTAAACTTAAAACAAGACGATGAGCTAAAATGAATCAAACTAATCTGACAGCTAAAAGGAACAAAATGGTAGCTAAAATCTATAAGACAGAACAGTGGCAAACAGCTAAAAGGAGAACAACAATAGCAAAAATGAGCTAAATTCTTGTTTTTATTTCTCTTCACGTTGTAAAAATGTATCTAAGCTGAATCTCTGTTGGTTCTTTTTAATTTTGTTATAAACTTTAAGTAAAAAAAGGCTTTAAGAACCCATTAAGATGCAAACACCAAAAAATTAAAGCTCAGAGTTTACTGAAAATTAAACCCAGTTTCTTTGTCATAACTGTTTTTCCCTTTTTTCCCCCCAGCTGTGCATATTATCGCACATCTGTTTAACTTTGAGTTTTTCATGGACGCACAGCTGAACCGCAACAGCAGCTACCTGCCCTTCGTCTTGTCTGAAATCGGCACCGGGGACAACGCCTCCTTCCTGAATCCCATCAGGAGCAACGAGACGGTGAGTCGTTGGTCCAGAATACCAACCTTACTTTCACAACATCACACTCGCTCTGCTCTTTAAAGAAATTGGAACTAAAACTGTGGCAGAGCTGTGAGCTGTTGCTTGACAGCAAGAAGGCTGCAGGTTCGTGATGTCAGTCTGATTTGATAGCAATATGATACCAAGTTATGAGGATTGTTTTTGCCAATATTAATTATCAAATTGGATGCATCATCATATTGCTAAATCAGAATGAATTTTTTTTCATTAGTTGGTTGATTTATTAACTTATATGTTCTCCTTGTGCACATGCGGCTTTCCTTCAAGTACTCTGGTTTCCTCCCACAAACTGAAAAAATGAATGTTAGATAAATTAGCAACTCTAAATTGTCCCTAGTTGTGAACGGTTGTTTGCATCTGTGATGGACTTGAGAACTCGAGCAGTGGCTAAGGCACCAACTCTGCAGTAACCAAAAAAAAAAAGAAAAAACAGGTGAAAGCAGACTGATGGCTGGATGACTTTTCTAATAATTTTCACAAAATGTTGAGAATGGTTTCTTAAAATAATGTGTAGGTATCTCACATTAATAACTGCTAGCATCAGCTATCTAGCATCACAAGCTGAATTATTAACACAGATTTTGAGTTTTTCTTTTTAACTTAACTTTGAAGTAGCTTTAATTTAATAAAGTAGTAATTTTAATCTAATTTTTGAGTAGAAAGCCCAAACTGAATGAGTTCAAGCAAACCAGAGTTGACCCAGTGCAGACGGGTTTTACCCAGCAGCTTTTAGTGTGTGCTTCATTCTGGTGTTGCTAAACTTTGTGAAATCCTGACTGTTAGTTTCTAAATCCAGAAACAATACTGAAGTAATCAGAAGTTCCCCTTTACGTGTGTTTAAAACTTCTGCTTTAAAGATAAGTTTATGTCTTCCTCATGTTCTTCAAAAGTACACAAATTACAGGTCAGACTGTTTTTTTTTTTTTTTTTGTCACCAAACCACTGTGATCCAAGTCTGTTGATCCTGCTTTCAGGAACAACAGATGGTTGAAGTTACTATTCAAGAACTGCTTTCTGCTATGATATTTTACTAAATCTGAGGCTATGTTTTGACAAACATAACCATTTTTAAACGTTCACCAAAATATCTAACAAATGTCCTAATTTCCTGTAGTTTATGCAATTTGTGTTTGAAACTAAACATTATTAAAGTACCCCTGTAGCTCTTTTCTGGAATAAAGTCCTCATTTGCTGTTTGATGCAGCTGAGGTCTAATTTCTTACATACTTTCTAAACTTCTAAGTAACTAACCTCAAAGTCAACAAGTGTTTGTCTCAATCACCGCAACAAGGGGGAAGTACAGGATGTCAAAACAGGCGTTTGGTAAAAAAAAAAAGAAAAAGGGAAGTTAATCAACAGCCATGACCTGAAGTGGGGTGATTAAAAAAGAAGCAAAGAAGAAGCTAACTGATCACCCACACACTAACCAGCTGTGTGTAACTGAGAACTAAAATATTTTCTGAAGAAATATTAAAGGTGCAACAACTTAGTGCATTCAGCTGGAGCAGCCATCTTGAATTAGGATGACTCCCAGCAGTCAAGTAAGTTGTAGACTGCATCTAATGATTACTTTCTAAATCTGATTCAAATCTGACAAGTAGGCTATTTTGCTAACAGGCTATTAGAAATGACTATGATGAATAATGAAAAAGAAAAAGGCTAGACCAGCCAGTGAACCTCAAATCATCTGATTGTCAAGGCAATTATCTGAGGCTCTGCCCACTTCTGCTATTTTTAGATCAGTTGGAGAATAAAAAGGAAACGGTTCTTAATAAATTGGTCTAAAGATTTAGTCAAACTTCAGCAAGATGTAAGACATCAGATCTTGTTAATGTGATTGTAGACAGTCTTTTACTCAACGACAATTCCTTTACAGAAAAAAAGGATTTTTGGGTGTAGTAACATTTATTTAATTATTCTTTTAAATTTTACAAAAAAAATATCAAATTTTCTGAACTACTAGAATTTACTAAATAAACAATATGCATTATATTATATATCAATATTACCGTACAAAAAAAATAAATGCTAATATTATTTTCAATCAATCAATCAATAACCTTTATTTAACCAGGTGGAAAACCCATTGAGATCAAGATCTCTTTTGCAAGAGTGACCTGGTCAAGAGGTCCGCACGACACGTCACAGAGTATATCAGAGTTAAGATTCACATTGCAGTAAAGTATAACACAATTCAAAATACAAGTTGTTATAAAAAAGGTGAAGACGTTCAGTCATTTAGACATACAGATCAAAGTAATTCCCAAATTAAATCCTAATGGTTTTCATTTCTTATAACTGAATATCGTAACATTATTCAGTCAAACACTTTTGATTACATAATCAACAAAATAGTAAAAACTCAAAAACAAGAAGTCAGATGAGAGATCACTACGTACAATTAGTGACTAGAAAACATTGGCACAAATCAAACTTTTTAATGGTATCAGAGAGGGTCGACAAGAAGGATCTAAGAGAGATTAGTGTTGACAATTTTAGATCCTTCTGTACATTGTTCCAGGCTGAGGGGGCAGCGGGTCACCACACAGGCAGCCACCATCTTGCACCGCCATCTTGTCTACGAAGGCTCATGAAGGACAAACTGCGGTGGCGGCGTCAAAAACGGTTTTAGTTGTAATACTATGAATGTAATTGTTGTCTGTCTGCTACATTTACAAGGACAAAAGTAATCAGATTTAACGGCCGTTCGGAATAAAAATGCATCATGTAAACAGCCCGTTCCGATTATTCTGATCCGATTG